AAATGGTCTTTGCTTTGAGCCATGATCTGTCTGACATCAATAATGATATCCCTCATTCTACATCTTCTGAATCCAGCTTGCATTTCTGGAATTTCTCTGTCAGTATACTGCTGCAGCTGTTTTTTAAATTATCTTCAGTAAGATTTTACTTGCACGTGATACTAATGATATTGTTTGATAATTTCCACATTCTTTGGGATCACCTTTCTTTGGAATGGGTACAAATACGATCTCTTCCAGTCAGTTGGCCAGGTAGCTGTCTTCCAAATCTCTTGGCATAGTTAAGTGAGTGCCTGCAGCATGGCATACATTTGTTGAAACATCTCAATGGGTGTTCCGTCAGTTCCCAGAGCCTTGTTTTTCACCAGCTCCTCAGTGCAGCTTCAACTTCTTCCTTCAGTACCATTGGTTCTTGGTCATATGCCGCCTCCTGAAATAGATGAACATCAACCAATTCTTTTTGGTACCATGACTCTGGGCATTCCTTCCATCTTCTTTTGATGTTTTCTGCATCAGTCAATATATTACTCATAGAATCTTTCAGTATTGCACCTCAAAGCTTGAATTTTCTCCTCATTTTTTTTCAGCTTGAGAAATGCTGAGCATATTTCTTCCCTTTTGGTTTTCTAATTCCAGGTCTTTGCACATTTCTTTATAATAATTGACACCTTCTCGAGTTGCTCTTTGAAATCTTTTGTTCAGCTCTTTTATCTTGCATTTCTTCCATTTGCTTTAGCTACTCTTCAGTCAAGGGCAAATTTCAGAGTCTCTTCTGACATCTATTTTGGTCTTTTCTTCTTTTCCTCTCTTTCTAATGGCCTTTTGCTTCCTTCATGGATGATGTTCTTGATGTAATCCTACAATTCCTCTGGTTTTCAGTCATTGGTGTTCAGTGCATGAAATCTATTTTTACTTGGTCTCTAAATTCAGGAGGGATATAATCAAGGTCATATTTGGCTCTTAGGGACTTTTTACAATTGTCTTCAGCTTCAACTTGAACTTGCATATGTGCATTTGATGGTCTGTTCCACAGTCAGCTTCTGGCCTTGTTTTGGCTGAAGATATTGAGCTTTTCCATTGCCTCTTGCCACAGATGTAGTCAATCTGATTCCTATGTGCTCTGTCTGGTGAAGTCCACATGTATAGCCACCGTTTGTATTGTTGAGAAAAGGTGTTTGTAATGAATAAGTCATTGGGCTTGTGTAGTCAATCTGATTCTTGTGTACTCCATCTGACTAAGTGTACACATATAGCCATCATTTATGTTGTTGAGAAAAGATGTTTGCAGTGAATAAGTCAGTGGTCTTGCAAGTTTGTCAAGTGATCTCCAATGTTACTTCTATCACCAAGGCCATATTTTCCAACTACTGGTAATTCTTCTTTGTTTCCAATCTTTGCATTCTAGTCACCAGTGATAATAAACACATCTTGATTGCATGTTTGGTTAATTTCAGACTGCAGAGGTTGGTAAAAATCTTCAACTTCCTCATCTTTGGCTTTGGTGGTTAGTGCATAAATTTGAATAATAGTAGTAGTAACTGGTCTTCCTTGTAGGCGTATAGATATTATCCTATCACTGACAGCATTGTACTTCAGGATATACCTTGATTCATTGTGATGATGAATGCCATGCCATTTCTCTTCAACTTGTCATTCCTGGCATAGTAGATCATGTAATTGTCTGATTCAGAATGGCCAAAACTGGTCCATTTAAGCTCACTAATGCCTTGCATATCAATCTTTATGCGTTCTATTTCATTTTTGACAACTTCCAATTTTCCTAGATTCATACTTTGTACTATCCATGTTCTAATTCTGAATGGATGTTTGCAGCTGTTTCTTCTCATCTTGAGTAGTGCCACATCTGCAAATGGAAGTCCTGGAAGTTTTACTCTATCCTCATCATTGTGGTCAGCTCTGCTTTGAGGAGTCATCTCTTCCCCAGTCATGTTTTGAGTGCTTTTCCAACCTGAGGGATTCATCTTCTGGCACTATATCGGACAGTGTTTCTGGGCTATTCATAAAGTTTCCCAATAGTATATCAGACAGTGCTTCACTGATATTCATAAGGTTTTCACTGGCCAATTCTTTGAGAAGTGGACGGCCTCTTCCTCCTTCCGAGTCTGTCTGAGTCTGGAATCTCCACTGAAATCTGTCCAGCATGGGTAACCCTGCTGGCATTTAGAACATCGGTGGTATAGCCTCCAGCCTCACAGCAACGTGCAAGTCACCATAGTATGACAAACTGATGGACAAGTTTATCTCTCTTAGCTGTTCCAAACCACTCTGCTCACTTCCAGGTCTGATCCTGGGTGCTCCCAAACTCCGGCCTTGCCTTCGTACCCCAGCTCACTCACACAGCTTTCCCCTGGGCACTTGCAAACTCCTGCCTCGCGTTCTGTGCCCCAGCTCACTCACTTAGCCTGACCCCGGGTTCTTCCAAACTCCTGCCTCACCTTGCGTGCCTACCCCCCGGGGGCTCCCAAACTCTTACCTCGTCTTCTGTGCCCTGGCTCTGGCTCACTCACCTGGCCTGCTCCTGGGCACTCCCAAAGTCCATGTTGCCTTCTGTTGCATGTGAGCATGTGCAAATGGTGGTGAGTAAGACCTTTTCACCTCAGAGGTTGCAGAATGACCTTCAACTGGGTTCTGTTATTCCTTTTTATCATGAAATGGTGTAAATAAATTTTTCAGTGATTTTAGTTACTTAAACTATATTATGTAGCTTGAAGATAAAAATAGATCAAGATCTTAAGTGCAAAACATTGAAAAAGCATTAAAACATCTTAAAGGGAAAGCTATAAAAGCATTGTTGTTAGGTG